GATCCCAGGACCCTGGGATCATGACCTGAGCCGAAGGCAGATGCCTAAAGACTGAGACACCCAGGCGCCCCCTTTTAAAAAAAACTTTTTTTAATAGTTTGAAAAACTATGACGCTTAATGACTGAGCCACCCAGGTGCCCCTAAAATTGTTTTTAAAGATTTTATTTATTTATTTGAGAGAGAGAGTGAGCGAGAGAGAGAGTGCACACACAAGCCAGGGAAGAGGCAGAGGGAGGGAGAAGCAGACTCCCCGCTGAGCAGGGAGGCTGATACGGAGCTCAATCCCAAGACCCTGAGATCATGACCTGAGCCAAAGGCAGACACTGAATGACTGAGCCACCCAGGCGCCCCCCAAAATAAAATCTTTTTTAAAAAATTACCCCACCTCGCGGCATTGTTTGGAGATCAAAATAAGACATTTCAGGGATGCCTGGGGAGCTCAGTTGGTGAAACGTCTGCCTTCGGCTCAGGTCATGATCCCAGGGTCCTGGGGTCGAGTCCTGTGTCAGGCTCCTTGCTCAGCGGGGGGCCTGCTTCTCCCCCTGCCTGCTCTGACTGCCGCTACCCCTGTTTGTGTGCTCCCCCCCACCCCAGCTTCTTTCTCTCTCTGACAAATAATATTTTTTTATTTTTTATTTTTTTTAAAGATTTTATTTATTTATTCATGAGAGACAGAGAGAGAGAGGCAGAGGGAGAAGCAGACCTCCCGCGGAGCAGGGAGCCCGATGCAGAACTTGATCCCAGGACCCTGAGATCATGACCTGAGCCGAAGGCAGACGCTTAACCATCTGAGCCACCCAGGCGCCCGACAAATAAAATTTTTTAAAAAAAGAAAAAAGACATTTCAGGATCCCTGGCATCTGGGATCAAGAAAATGTTCCATGAGTGGTGTGGTTGCTGGGGGTGGGGTGAGGCCTGATTATTTCAGAGTTTGCATCCGTCCTGGGCTGGGGCTCAGGCAAGAATGGGTCAGGCTCTGCCCTCTGGAAGAGGTTGTTAAACACATACAGCCACAGAGGAATACTCCAGGGGACTATTCAGATGAGGGCCATGTAGGCAGGATCCTGAATGATGAGTGCAAGTCTGCTGGGTTGGGAAGGAAGGGAAGGATGTTTCGAGGACAGAAACACAGAGGCGGGCAGAATCGCAGTTTGTTGGGTAAGGCAGAAAGATAAAAACTGGCCAGAGACAGTGGTCTTGGGGGGGATCACAGCCAGAGAGTAGGCTGGAGGTCCACAGGGCCTTCTCCTGCCCAGGCCAGGGCTGGGGTAAGAGGAGGGGTTTACTTTTTATTGTGGAAGCCATGGGAAACCACTAACCATCTCAGGGAGGGCTCCATGTGACCAAGCTTGTGGTTGCAAGCATCCAGCCACAGCTGGGAAGTGGGTTGGAGGGCTCCCACCTGCTAGTGTGGGAGAGGGTGGGGAGGGGTGGGGGGACAAGAGACAGCCCTCAGGAGAGGAGATACACAGAGTTCTTGAATGATACAGAGGACCCCCACCAGTCAGCCCTTCTGACCCCACTAGGGTTCTTATAACCCCCCAGTCTTTCCTCTGCTGGTGCCCAACCTGCAAGAGCTCTGGCTAAGGAGGCATCCCTTTGCCCATGTCCGCCCATCCCCTCAGTTCTTCTTGAGGGGGAACAGGGGCGCCCCCAGCGGAGCGTCAAGATGAGCTCTAGGTGAAGGCCCACCCACTCAGAGAAGATACTCCAATAACCCACGCCCCTGCCCCAGCAGCCTGGGCCCCTCTTCCCTCTCCATCCGTCCCCCTACCTTTTGGGAGCTGAGCGAGTACCGCGGGGGCGAGCGGGGCGGGGCCAGCGAGCAGTTATAGCTGGCCCCGCCGCGCTGCGCCGCCGACGCTCCGGCTCCCCGACACCGCAGTCCCGCGGCGCGCCCAGCCCCATCTGAGTTAGCTCCTGGCCTGCCCCGCCGGGCGGCCGTCAACTTGAGCACCCTGGCGCGGGGCACGGGCGTGCGGGGCCCTGCGGGCCGGCCGGTGCTCGCATTGTTGCTGCTGCTGGCGCTGCTGGCGCTGCCCGCTGGCGCCTGGTACAAGCACGTGGCGAGTCCCCGCTACCACACAGTGGGCCGCGCCGCGGGCTTGCTCATGGGGCTGCGCCGCTCGCCCTACATGTGGCGCCGAGCGCTGCGCCCCGCTGCCGGGTCCCTTGCCTGGGACACCCAAGGCCTGGGCGCGTCCCCCCAGGGGCTATCCGCCAAAGACACCCTCTCTCCGGCGCCCGTCCCTCGCGGTGCTCTCCTGCTCTCCTCGGGGGTTCGGGAACTGTTGGAGATGGGACGCAGGTACTCCCGCGCAGGGCGCGAACTGCGCAGCCCGACCCTGAACTGGAGCCGCGGCAGGGCGCCCATTCCTGGACCTCCGTGAAGCAGGCCAGGTACGTGGGGAGAGAAAGGGGGCCGGGACAGCAGCGGGTGGAGGATGTCTGGAGAGATCTGGGCCCGGAGCGCACGCCCGCGTGCCCACGAGACACCCTATGACCTTCCTATCTCCCACTTCTTGCCCAGAAAGCTTTCCAGGAGCCTTGGGGGGGGGGGAGGTAAGGGTTAGTGGAGAGTGCACAGCCTTCTCCCCAAGGTCCTGCTCTGTTCTTTCTAGAGCCTTCGGAGTGTCTCGTGTTCAGCCATGGTCCGCGCAGTGAACCATCTTCGCTGGCCCCCACCTCTCCCCAGGGCCATCCTGAACGCAGCCCTTGCTGGTGATGCCCCCTTGTCTGACCCAGGAGTCTACTCCTCCTCCTGGGTGAACAGCTCAGGCCAGGCCAGGTGGTCTGGTCAATAAAAGCTGCCTGGTTCATGCGTTCCCGCGTGTGACCCTTTTCCTCCACGCTGTATACTTGGCATCTAGCTTCGGGGTGCAAACAGCTGCGTTCACACCCTGGCAATTACAGGAGCCCTCTCCCTGGCCAGGGGATGCCCCCTCCTAACCATCTCGATCTGTAAGTCCTTGTGGGGCAGGGGAGGGGAGAGGGGACAGAGGCAGAGACACTGCTGGGGCCTAGGTCCCCTTCCTTCTCTGCCAGTACTGCCCCTCCTGTTCCGGGGTGGGGTCATCACACCAGGTCCCAGGGTCCCACTGCCATCCACCAGAAAGAGGAAAACGACTCACACACCACTAGCTGAGCCAGAGCTCCCACCCCAGCCTCCCGGGAGCCCCAGAGTGCCCCCTCACTATGCCTCCTGACCAGGCTGGGGAGAATGTCTTCCTTAAGGTACCTTAAGACCAGCAGCCTTGGGATGCCTGAGTGGCTCAGTCAGTTAAGCGTCTGCCTTCAGCTCAGGTCACGATCCCAGGGTCCTAGGATCGAGCCCCGCATCAGGCTCCCTGCTCAGCGGAGAGCCTGCTTCTCCCTCTCCCTCTGCCTGCCACTCTATCTGTGCTCTCTATCTCTCTGTCAAATAAATAAATAAAATCTTAAAAAAAAAAGACCAGCAGCCTACCCAGCCTTTCCCACGTCTCCCAGGATTCATTTCAAACCTGATCTCCTTCACCCCCCTCCTTCCCCTCAGCCAATGGCTTCTGGAGAGGAAGTGAGAACCCCTGGCCCCCTTCTTCAAGGTCCTGCTCCTCTTCTAAGGAGGAAGGGCCCCTTGCCTCCTCAGAGACCCTTCCACCTCTTATCCCCTCTGCATTTTCAGTTATTGGCTCCAACCCCCACGTAAATATGCTCTGCTGTCATGAATAAGGACCCCTGGGCCCCCTTACAGCTCCTGCTCACAAGTGTGTGGGCCCCTCCACCCTTCTGCCTCCTCGTCAACCCTCTTCGGTGTGGGCTCTGACTCCCACAACTGTCCTGGGCCTTGATGCGCCTAGTCACTGTGCCCTGATGCTGTCTGCCCTTGGAGCCCTCCCTTGGCCATGTGGCAAGGCCTTCCACTAGGGCACCCAGCCAGGACCAGAGGAGGGGTGGTCCCATGCCTGTTGAGCTGGCTAGCTTCAAGATACTCACATGGGGGCGCCTGGGTGGCTCAGTTGGTTAAGCGACTGCCTTCGGCTCAGGTCATGATCCTGGAGTCCCTGGATCGAGTCCCGCATCGGGCTCCCT